AATTTTTGAAACCTCATCTCATGACATTCTTATGAGAGATGTTACGTCACTGCCCAGCAAACATCGACAGGCGGTAGAAAGCCGGGCCCATGGCGAGAACGGCGGGCAAATGTCGATGTCGGCATGCCTCGAAAGGCCCTCCATATAATTTCGAAGGATTATGTGACGAAGGCAGAATGTACACATAGTTATGATGGGCCTCTGTTTCCCAGCCGCTAGTCTTCCGCTGTATGTATCCAAGTCCAAGGGCCATCAAAATCTCAACGGAGTGTGCCATCATCACTCACTCAACGTTGGCATTCCTCGCTCGCGTGCGTTTTTATTTTGATCATTTTGCAGTGGTAACAATGATTCAGTATGGCGTATATTAATTTCTTTGTTTATGTTGTTTAACACTCTCAATAGAGATTTTAGTACTGTGTTCAGTTCGTGTATGGTTTTATACTGGATTTTCATACAAAATGGAAGGGCATTGAAATAAATACAGAGTGAGTGAGGAACAAACATATATACACACTTGCACAGCTGAATAATTCTCCAATTTTAGACAATAATAATTTTACAAACACCATTGGACAAACAAATGCAATGGTAGTTTGGACATGTTCAGCGGATACACAAGAATATAATAATATATGAGGACTTTGAAGATGCATGAGCTTTCATTACATATGAATCACAAATCTATTTTCGAAACGAAAATCAAAGAGTACCTACTTGAAGAAACAGTTATATTTCAAGAATTACTGAAGGTTTGTATAATGTTGCATGTTGGATTAGTAGAGAATGAAATCATTCAATCTTTCAGCTACAAAATCAACAACCAGAAGCCCATCAATCACAGATATTAATGAAGAAATCACACAATGATCCAGAATAAATGTCTTCATGGTGTATGATATCTCACTTCCAGGCAACACTCATATCAATATGATGAAGAGTAAGGTTCTCCATATCTGGGAATTGTTTTCTTGTGGATTGAACTCTATTGTTGACAATAACTTGATCAATATAATAACTGTTTACCTACATAACTCTCAAGTTATTTGGTAGGTACATAGGTGATGTAATTTTCGACCTAGAGTTAGTAAATTTTTTAAATAAGTGGAAAAACAAATATCTATCCTGCATGATGAAACACAAATACATATCATTGTGAATTGTAGGTACCTTCTGATCATGAGTATAATGAATGATACGTAGAACTAGAATTAGGATGTTTGATGTTTCCATAGTTATGATATGTATTATGGTTGTGATCATGACAATAATATACACACATGGATATTTTCAGTGCTTGTTTTTGTATGGGGTATTTATACTGCTAGTTTCCTGGAAATAACTGTGATATCAGGATGCCAGAGATTTTATGTGATTATTCAACAACTTCAGGTAAGGAGTGAATTCCACATTTCTGTTATTCACAACAAACTCGGAGACCTCAATTCTGTTTATTGAAGTTACACTTTTTTAACCAGTTTGAAAATAAAGAGAGTGATGCAAAGCTGAGTGAAAATAAGATACGTTGCTTTCCAACTGGGATACCTATCAAAAAACCTATTTTCACTGAGATATATGCATTACCCTGTATATTTTTTGACAAACCTTGTTGAAAAATGGGACTTCAAAAAACAGAATACCATGAATATTGAATTAAATCAACCCCGTTAACCAACGGCCCTGAAAAACTCCTCTATCGGGGAGATAAAAATACTCAAGCGGCCAATTAATGGCAGTCTCTGAAAATTCTCAATCGGGCCGAAGATATGCCATGAATGCAGTACATTTGAGTACTTGCTTCTGCCCACCAGAAGCCCTGCAATGTAATAAGCGGCATACTGATTAGTCGGGGCTTGTTTTGCGAAAAATCAAATTCTAGAAGCATTTCATGTAACAATTGGATAAATGACGTCAACCCCCTATTTCGACCCCGCTGAATCCGAAAATACCGTTTATCAAGTCGAAATTCCAACCGGAAGTGAGATATTCAAGATGGCGTCCGAAATACCCCTAAAATCTAATTATTTTCTACTTTCGGTCAGCCATACGATTGAGGTGTCGATGTCTATGTTTTCGGGGGTGTAAAATACGATGAGACACTCAAAAAATGATTTGGAGCATTGAAAGTTCACCGAATGATCAAATTTTGCCGAAATAGACCAAAATTCCAAAGAACTTGTGAAAACGTGTTGCATAATGTATATGCTTGCATACGCTTTCGAGGGTGCTCAATAAGTTTATGAGCCAAAAAAGCATTTGAACATTGTCCAAGCCTTCATTTCTTATATTTTGAGAGAGCCCCTTGCAGCCACGAGTTCCAAATTCGGAAAATGAATTGGGAATAGGTGGCAAAGTCATCAGGATTGGGACATATCGTCCATTAACAATTTTCCAGCCGTAATTATTCGGGTCTTATAAATCAGGATACTGATCATGGGCCTTAATCCACACTAGTATCTCAACATAACATTAACATCCTTCGATTTGTTCAATTTTGTTTTACCTGGAAGTAGCACCGGAGAATGTGTTGACGGAGGGCATCAGTGGTAGATGGCAAAAAGCATTCGCACTGTCCAAAAAATTGCAACATGGGCTGCGTCTGCCGTTGTAATGTCCGGTCCAACACAAAATAAAAATGGTAGTAGTATCGAAACGGCTAATAGTTCTTACTCACCATGTGTCTCAGAAAAGGGACGCAACAAACCTTGTATAAAGCTTGCACCACAAACTGTTCAACCAAACGGAGATCATCGGGGGCTAGATCGGGAGTTTTTACAAGCTGACTGAGGAGTTTACAGTAGTTTTCTTCTATGTACTTGCTTCCACCGTTCTGTTTTTGTGACTGACGCTAACTTAAATGTAGTATCACATCCAGTGATTGCATGGAAAGCCATCATGTTTTTTATCTGTTGTGGTGCAAGTTTCTTACATAGTTCGTGAATTGGAATATACTCCATGCGTAAAAACCGAAAGAGAGGCTGTTGTTGTTTCTGTTAAAGACACTAGTGTGATTTCATTATTCATCTATCACTTTGAAAGAATGAAATGCATGGAATGCTGGGTGATGTGTGGTACTTCCCGAGATAGAAAGTATATTCCAATTCATGAACTATGTAGAAAGCTCACATCACAACAGATCAAAAACCTGATGGATTTCCACGCAATCACCGAATGTGATACTAAATCTTGATGAGGGTCTGCCAGACAGTGCGAATGATTTTCGCCATCTACCACTGATGCCATCCATCAACACATTCTTCGGTGCCACTTCCAGATAAAACTAACAAGAAGAAAAAGAAAATAGAAAAAATCGAGGGATTTTAATTTTAGTCTGTTTTCTTTTTATGTACTAGTGTGTGGTTTAACGCCCATGATCAGTATCTTGATTCACCAGACCCGATTAATTGCGGCTGGAAAATTGGTGATGGACGGTAAGTCCCAATCTTGATGACTTTGCTACCTATTCCCAAGTCATGTCCCGAATTTGGAGCTTGTGGCTGCATGGGGCTCTGCGGCCACTGCGGCACGAAGCAGTGTGGCTGCAGGGAGCCGAATGGAGCAGAAAAGATGAGGAAGCAGACTACTAATAGTGAACTTTTTTTTCAAAATATAAGAAATGAAGGCTTGGACAATGTTTAAATGCTTTTTTGGCTCATAAACGTATCGAGCACCCTCGAAAACGTATGCAAGCATGTATACATTATACAACACGTTTTCACAAGTTCTTTGGAATTTTGGCCCATTTCGTCAAAATTTGATCATTCGATGAACTTTCAAAGCTCCAAATCATTTTTTGAGTGTCTCATCGTATTCTACACCCCCGAAAACATAGACATCGACACCTCAATCGTATTAGGGGTTTTCTGGACGCCATCTTGAATATCTCACTTCCGGTTGGATTTTCGACTTGATAAACGGTATTTTCGGATTCAGCGGGGTCGAAATAGGGGGATAACAGCATTTATCCAATTGTTACATGAAATGCTTCTAGGATTGTAACGGAGAGCTTTTTTTGGAATTTAGCCCCGACTAGATGGCTCTAGAGAGGCGGTCGGCTGTCGGCCGCCGGGACACGGGCTAGCCGGCCCAATTTAGTTGTACAATAGAGGACCGCTGTTACCGCTCGCCGGCAAGTTCCATTGTACCTTCAGAGGGCCGCAAAAATCATGTTTGCTGGGTGGTGTAGAAGTAATGAGCAGTAATGAGCAAGCAGGGGTCATGTGACACCTCGTTTGGAAGGTCTACTGATCGTCTATCCAACAGTCAAAATTTTGCATAAGAATATTGCAATTAAAATGGATTATCATTTGGTTAACTAAATCTTGCAGAGGTCTGCTACTGAGAATTGAACATCGAAAGGTCGTCTAAATGAGAAAATACATAATAAAAAAAGTTCTGAACTCTAGTTTTTGGATTTTTTTCGGAAGTCGTCTTGTTTTGAAATGAATTTATTCCATACATTTGCATCATACTGTATATAATAGCAAAGTGCCTCTCAAGTGACACTCAACCAAAATGAAGTTTCTGTTTTTTTTCCAAATAGTGGAATTCCACGGAGCTGCAACTCCTAACATATGTGTCCTACAAAACAATTTTGACCACAAAAAATGTAGATAATTTTGTCTTCTTCAACTTTGGTATGGAACATGTTCTGCCGTGATACCTAAGAGGATGCACCTCGAGGTCGAAAACTTGGATTTTTCATAAGGGCCCCAAACCTAACAACATACTAAAAAATCGTTACTACCCAATCTTTTTCAGTCAAAGAACCCCCAATATGTTATTGGAGTTTTTTTCTTGAATCGATATTCAGCGCAACTGATAAGGCTTAGCTAGCCAAACAGTTATCTTGTATATCTGGTGACAATCGATTCACCTAAAGAATCTGTCTTGAGGTACACTGGATTCTAGATGATTCATTGGTCTACCACTATAGCTCTGACATACTAATTATTATTCACTTAGCTTGCAGTAGGTAATCAATCAGATACATAACTTACTTTTTGCTAGGAACATGCACACCTGGCTTCCTGAACTGCATATCGGTGTATATTCTTCATCTGGAAATATGAGCATAGCATAATTATAAATTAGGTAACTCATTCATCAGGTATCAAGAGAAATATTCCACTGCTCATTTCATTCAATGTGCAATGGCGTTCAAGGTTAACAACTCGTGTGACGACTTCATCGACTTCAAACCATGTTCACAATCCTCAGAATTTGAGTCAATGTATTCCTAGTTTTATATATTTATATGTTTATTTTCATTTCAGTTTAGTAATGTAAATGTCTGTACTCATCTGTTATACATACTTTGTTTTCTAATATTCATGAATTTCTATATTTACCACTATACATGTAACCATTTTGTAAATTCAATCAATCAATCAATCAATTCATTCATCCTGTAGAACTCACAAAGGTTATAGGACAAGTCAAATTATAGAACCTAAATATAAGTACACAGATGCATACTAATGTGAGTGGTTAACAGTTAAATAAAATAGCATCAACTAAAACAATACAGAAGCTCTTATAAATAGCAGCACTAGACATGTAACGTATACAATCATACATATAAAATTAAAATGTTAATGACAATCGGTCAAATCTGAAATTCAAAAAAATATTTTTGTACAACTTAATCGATTCTATAAATTCTTGTATCGAGTGAGAACATAGATCTATACTATTAAAACTTTTTTCAGTTGAAGTTTGAAGGTATGATTCTCGGAAGTTGTACAAGTACAAACCAAAGACGTGTGGTGCTCTTCTGGATAACTCCAGATGCTTGAAGGGCACGTGAAAGTTATCTTTTTTCCTTGTATTATGAGTATGAGTGTCACTATTTCTTGAGAAGGTATCTCCATTGCAAAGTACGTATGTCAATAGCTTAAAAACAAATATGCCAGGAACTGTTAATATTTTGTATTTGTTGAAAAAAGTTCGACACGAGTAATTAGGTGGACATCCCATAAGACAGCTCATGAGATAGAAAAACACTATGTGCAGCTGGAGTGTTTCCCCATACTATAATTCGATATAAAATTCTGAAGTGAATTGCGGCATAGTAATATTTGAGGAGATGGTTCAGACTCAATGCACTTTTTAGGTTTCTCAATTGATTGCACTTAGAGTTTAAATTTTTAGTCAGGTTAGTGCAATGCGTCCTAAATGACAAGGTGGAATCGAAGTACACTCCTAGAAATTTGATGTCTTCAATTGCCTCAATTGAACTATTATTTGAATTGATGTTCAGAGTTGGTGTGTTTGAGTTTTGGTGGATATGAAATACTGTGTAATTAGTTTTACTGGAATTCAATAGTAAGGATCTGCCAGAGGACCAAGCAGATAATTGGTTGACTGAGTTTGTGATTTTTGCTTGTAATGATTCAAAATCTTCATTTTTTAGTAGTGGAGTGGAGTCATCTGCATATAAAGTGGTGGAAATGTTCGATGAGATCAGGGGGCAGATCATTTATATATAATATAAACAATGAAGGGCCCAATATGGATCCCTGTGGAACCCTTAGAGTATTAATAACCATTGATGAGAAAACAAACTTCTCAAGTATGAATCAAACCAATCAAGAGTAATTCTTCTTATTCTGTATCTGTATAACAAGTTATGTAGTGTGCCATGGTGAACGCAGTCGAAGGCACGGCTGAAGTCACAAAAAATTTCAGTCGGACTCTCACCATCTTCAATGGCTTCGATCATCCCCTCGTAGAAGGATGTTATCGCTGTCATTGTAAAATATTTCGCGCGAAAGCCATGTCGATTTTTATTAATGATTTTGTACTCATCTTAAAAGTTCGTGAGCTGATCAATCATGGCATATTCAATTTTTTTTTAATATTACCGAGAGGGTACTGATGATGGTCTGTAATTTTCAGTATTTTCAGAGCTTTCTTTTTTCAATATTGGAGTAATTATAGAGGTTTTCAGCCTAGAAGGACATATTCCTACTGCAAATGATGAATTCATATTATGAGTTAATGAATTTGCCTACATCATTTCATAATGATCTTCTGGATGAATAAACTATTCTATTCTATTTTATTTTATCTGAGAATTCGGCACTTTGGGAGCTGGGTTAACGAAGGAGCAGTGACAGTTTACATGGAAATTGCAAAATGGGTGGAACAGGAGATCATTATACATCTATTAACATTACACCCGTTGAAAGTCGTATTCCCAAAATTGACTTTCGTCAACGCACTATCAGACACATTCTGCTCGATCTCGAAAAGAATAAGTCCAATGGTCCTGATGGAATTCCACTTATTATTCTCAATAAGTGTGCACCAGAATTGACCACGATTCTCTGCAAGCTCTTCACCATCTCTTACAAGTCGGGAATTTTTCCATCTTGCTGGAAAATTGATATAGTTCAACAAATTCCCAGAAAAGGCAACAAGACCCTAATAGCACACAACGTCCTAGGGACGTCACTATTTGGTACAATTCACGTCCGAATGTCCCGAACGAAAAATAAGTGTCCTTGGGACGTCCCATCCCGTACATCTCATGCAATGTCCGAGCAAGGACGTCCACGGAATGTATCAGCTGGTACATCATTCCAAATGTCCCATGCAAGGACGTCCTTGGCATTTCCCTGATGGGATATGATTATGAACGTTCCTTTAGGGACATCCGTCGGATGTCCCGAGTAGTACATATACTGGCATGACTTCAGATCTTATATAATGTCCATTCTAGACAACCATGAAATGACCCTGATGGAAAATTCCTTCAAATATCTCTGCACAGGCGCCCTTATTAATATTTCCAGGATCGTTTAACAATCGAAATGTCCCTTAGGGACGTCCTTCGAATGTCCGTCGGATGTCCCAATTGGTACATAAACTGTACTCTTCCAATGTACTAGAAATAACGTCCTATGGACGTCCTAGTCGGTACTTTCAAAATGTTGTCCCTGCGAGGACGTTAACTTACACCTCGCCGACGAATGATTGCTCGTAGGCTATAAGTACTCCTCGTCAATGCCCTTCACGTAAGTCCATTGGACATCCTTGGGGAAACTTTTTGGGGACCTTCTACGGACCATCAACTCAAGTGGATGTCCTAATCAGTTATGCAAGATCTGGTCCTAAAGAGACCCAGACAAATTCAAATTCAAGAATAATTCGTACGTTAATGGGACATCCAATTGATATCCCTCAGCGTTGCTGATAGGTTGTCCTATGGATGTCCTAAGGACGTCCTCTGTAGTTCTTGATGAGGAATACTGTAGGATTTAGGTATTCGATAGTTGTCCTAGGGACGTCCCTCAAGGACGTCCCTAGTTGGTCGTCAAGTGGGACATTTGTGCGCCCCACAGACGTCCAATGGACGTTCACGGTACCAGATTCGAACGTCCTATGGACGTCCTGAATGTCACGACAGGACTTCCTAAGGATATCCATGGGACATAAGTGTGTTATTAGGGATGGTGGTTCAAGATTCAGAATACAGAACACCTTGTATCTGTTCCAATTATTGAATGTCAGTAGGTAGTGAATCAAAAGTTAGGATACGAACATGGAAGCCGTTATGACCGATAATGAATAGTTTCGTCACAAAAAAATCCTAAAGTTGAAAAATCTCGATTTTGAACACCCTATATCTCTGTAATCATTCCCGCTAGACCCCAAGTATGATACATTGACCAAATCAACTCTTCAGAGAGAATCTAAGAATACAATGAAGATAGGGTGTTCCATTAAAAAAACTCAAATATTATCCTTTAGATCGCTTGTTCCGAGCACCTTGTTTTCTCTGAAAATCATTTAAGATGATATTTCAAATTCTGAAATTGGTACAAAAATAACTGATCTAGAGGGAGAGGGACATTTATGGTTAATCACCCTGTACTTGTGCTAATGGGTGCACATTATTCACGAGCACTAAAAAGTCCTAGTTGAATTCAACGCCACCAGAACTCAAGCCTGTATTCTCTCTAGAAAGGCGGAACTCAGTATGCCCGATATAGTCGGGGCTAAATTCCAAAAAAAGCCCTCCTTTACAATCCTAGAAGCATTTCATGTAACAATTGGATAAATGCTGTTAACCCCCTATTTTGACCCCGCTGAATCCGAAAATACCGTTTATCAAGTCGAAATTCCAACCGGAAGTGAGATATTCAAGATGGCGTCCAGAATACCCCTAAAATCAAATTATTTTCTACTTTCGGTCAGCTATACGATTGAGGTGTCGATTTCTATGTTTTCGGGGGTGTAGAATACGATGAGACACTCAAAAAATGATTTGGAGCTTTGAAAGTTCATCGAATGATCAAATTTTGACGAAATGGGCCAAAATTCCAAAGAACTTGTGAAAACGTGTTGTATAATGTACATGCTTGCATACGTTTTCGAGGGTGCTCGATACGTTTATGAGCCAAAAAAGCATTTGAACATTGACCAAGCCTTCATTTCTTATATTTTGAAAAAAAAAGTTCACTATTAGTAGTCTTCCTCATCTTTTCTGCTCCATTCGGCTCCCTGCAGCCACACTGCTTCGTGCCGCAGTGGCCGCAGAGCCCCATGCAGCCACAAGCTCCAAATTCGGGACATGTCTTGGGAATAAGTAGCAAAGTCATCAAGATTGGGACTTACCGTCCATCACCAATTTTCCAGCCGCAATTAATCATGGGCGTTAAACCACACACTAGTACCTAAAAAGAAAACAGACTAAAATTAAAATCCCTCGATTTTTTCTATTTTCTTTTTCTTCTTGTTAATTTTATCAGGAAGTGGCACCGAAGAATGTGTTGATGGATTGCATCAGTGGTAGATGGCAAACATCATTCGCACTCTCCCAAAAATTGCAACACGGGCTGCGTCTGCCGTTGTAATGTCCGGTCCAACTTGAAATGAAAATGATATTAGTATAAAAACGGCTAACAGTTCTAATTCACCATGTGTCTTAGAAAAGGGATGCAACAAACCTTGTATAAAGCACAAACTGTTCAACCAAACGGAGATCCTCGGGGGCCTCGCGGAGTCTTTCCAAGCTGACTGAGGAGTTTACAGTAGTTTTCTTCAATGTACTGCTTCCACCGTCCTGTTTTTGTGGCAGACCCCTCATCAAGATTTAGTATCACATTCGGTGATTGCGTGGAATTCCATCAGGTTTTTGATCTGTTGTGATGTGAGCTTTCTACATAGTTCATGAATTGGAATATACTTTCTATCTCGGGAAGTACCACACATCACCCAGCATTCCTTGCATTTCATTCTTTCAAAGTGATAGATGAATAATGAAATCACACTAGTATCTTTAACAGAAACAACAACAGCCTCTCTTTCGGTTTTTACGCATGGAGTATATTCCAATTCACGAACTATGTAAGAAACTTGCCCCACAACAGATAAAAAACCTGATGGCTTTCTACGCAATCACTGGATGTGATACCACATTCAAGTTAGCGTCAGTAACAAAACAGAACGGTGGAAGCAAGTACATAGAAGAAAACTACTGTAAACTCCTCAGTCAGCTTGTAAAAACTCCCGATCTAGCCCCCGATGATCTCCGTTTGGTTGAACAGTTTGTGGTGCAAGCTTTATACAAGGTTTGTTGCGTCCCTTTTCTGAGACACATGGTGAATAAGAACTATTAGCCGTTTCGATACTACTGCCATTTTTATTTTGAGTTGGACCGGACATTACAACGGCAGACGCAGCCCATGTTGCAATTTTTTGGACAGTGCGAATGCTTTTCGCCATCTACCACTGATGCCCTCCGTCAACACATTCTCCGGTGCTACTTCCAGGTAAAAGAAAATTGAACAAATCGAAGGATGTTAATGTTATGTTCAGATACTAGTGTGGATTAAGGCCCATGATCAGTATCCTGATTTATAAGACCCGAATAATTACGGCTGGAAAATTGTTGATGGACGATATGTCCCAATCCTGATGACTTTGCCACCTATTCCCAATTCATTTTCCGAATTTGGAACTCGTGGCTGCAAGGGGCTCTCTCAAAATATAAGAAATGAAGGCTTGGACAATGTTCAAATGCTTTTTAGGCTCATAAACTTATTGAGCACCCTCGAAAGCGTATGCAAGCATATACATTATGCAACACGTTTTCACAAGTTCTTTGGAATTTTGGTCTATTTCGTCAAAATTTGATCATTCGATGAACTTTCAATGCTCCAAATCATTTTTTGAGTGTCTCATCGTAATTTTCACCCCCGAAAACATAGACATCGACACCTCAATCGTATAGCTGACCGAAAGTAGAAAATAATTAGATTTTAGGGGTATTTTGGACGCCATCTTGAATATCTCACTTCCGGTTGGAATTTCGACTTGATAAACGGTATTTTCGGATTCAGCGGGGTCGAAATAGGGGGTTAACGTCATTTATCCAATTGTTACATGAAATGCTTCTAGGATTTGGCTTTTCGCAAAACAAGCCCCGACTAATATTGTGATGTCTGGCTCCACCATCCCCACTAAGCCCACCATATCTATGCTCGGTATTTCCATGAGCAACACTCTTTCATGGGATAATCATGTCAGATCTATCGCAAAAGCTGCCTCACAAAAACTCGGATTCTTGTTCCGTGCGAAAAGCTACTTCACACCTCAACAGCTCCTCATGATCTACAAAGCGCAGATACGGCCTGTTTCAGAATACTGTTCCCACATATGGGGTTCGGCACCAAAACATACGCTGATGCTCTTAGATTCCATCCAGAGAAGAGCCATTCGCCTGGTGGGTGACGCCACACTCACTCACTCTTTGACATCATTGGAATACCGTAGAAAGGTCGGCGACCTTCCACTTTTCTATCGATACTTCCACGGAAAATGTTCTTCGGAAATCTCTGCTATCATCCCTTCACTAGCAATACCAATCAGACGAACTAGACAAGCCCAGTCAGCACATCCTTTCGTTGTCAACCTCGAAAGATGACGAACAGCCTCGCGAACAGCACTTTATCAAGACTCCTTCATCCATAGAACGGCTAGGCTCTGGAATTCGTTGCCTTAAGAAGTTTTCCCAACAACATATAATCTTTAGAAGTTCATAAAAAATTCCAATACCTTCCTATTATAGGGATTCCCTTACGTGCGCTCCAAGCGATAAAAAAATTCTTCCTAAAGAGCTGATTTCATCAATGTATCACACTTGGGATCTTGCGGGAATGATTACAGAGATAAAGGGTGTTCAAAATCGAGAATTTTCAACTTTAGGATTTTTCTTTTGTCGAAACTATTCATTATTGGTCGAAACGGCTTCTATGTCCCTATCTCAACTTTCGATTTACTATCTACTGACATTCAATTGGAACATTTACATAGTGGTTCAAGATTCAGAATACTGAACACCTTGTATCTGTTCCAATTATTAAATGTCAGTAGATAGTAAATCAAAAGTTAGGATACGAACATGGAAGCCGTTTTGACCGATAATGAATAGTTTCATCACGAAAAAATCCTAAAGTTGAAAAATCTCGATTTTGATCACCTTATATCTTTGTAATCATTCCTGTTAGACCCCAAGTTATGATACATTAGTTGCGTTTTATTTGTTCCATTCTGGTAACGGTGGTGGGAACAGAATGATGTTTACAAATAAAACGGGAAACTTCATGAAGTTGCAATCCTCCAAAAGAGAAATTGACATATTATTATATAGATGATAGAAATTATATCTATATATTTGGGCTCCAAATATTTTCGAAATCAAAATACAAGAGTGAAAAATCAAGAAAATGAAAGCAGTGATTGTGGTGATTTGTGAAAGTTCTGTGGAATCTAGAGAATATATTTTATCTGATGGAAATGAAGGTATGAAACCTGTCTTTCTTGAAAGAATCATGAAAATGTCTTCTAAATGTCTTCATCTTTCAAAAAGCTTCTTTTTTGTCAATCTAATATTATTTTTTGACAACTGTCGACATTCACTCACGTCATTCCTTGTAGTGAGACGGAATGAAAAGTAGCAACCGGAATCGGAGTAGTTACAAATAAAACGACACACTAGAGTGATTCCGGTGGCGGAATGGGGAAGTTTCCTATATTGAGGTTTTTATCTCACTGTGAAGTTTGTAAAAAATTAATATATACGTATTTTTTCATTTTTCCGTAAGATGAAATTTCACTTCAGAAAAAAATCAATAAAAGAGGAACTTATTGGTTCCTCCACCATTCCTATGACGTATTTTCTGAAAATCCACATTCACACAGAGTTAAAATACGATTGCCTGTGTCAGTACAACGTTGCCGACATTATCATTATGTCTAGATTTTCGGAAATTGTTCTTTGAATGCATAATAACTATATCATAACAGCAATGGGATGTAATGGGTTCTTCAATCCTGCTTTGTCAAGTATTATGAATAATTCCCATACATTTCTCATTGGCTGGATGAAGTTGATTACTAATAAAGATGAATTGAGATATTTTGCGATAGTATCTTTAATTTTTCACTATCGTTATATTACAATATGTTATTCATAACTTGTCAGTCATTTTTTTGCTAATGAATTCGTTCCTTAATAAAACGGATCTATTTTCTAGGATTGTTGCATATCATATCTTGTAACAGCGCATAATGGGTGCCGGCTTCATTCTGTTCTGACCGATGGCAGTAAATTAGGAAGGATAGTATCATTGAATGTAGCCGATAGTGATTCATTGATTTCCGTTTAGGATCGAGCTCTATTCGAGATATTTCAATGCATAAATAACAAAACCATATCTTGTCAGAATGAAGCCAACTACCCTCTGCATTCCTGCTCCGAGTGCATTTGTAGTTATGTATGTTTTTGTTTACCAATTTTATTTCTTCTTCTATTTTTTCATTCGTTTTTCATTCGATACCTATTCGCTAGCTATATTCTTCACCATCAGCTATTTTCAGACTAGATTCAGAATGTACGTCACAGTTTGCCGCCCCGAAAACTAGAAATTGCTTTAATTTGAAAATGAAAACGACTTGGACTTTATCGTTCGTCATTCCATACAGCGTGGACATGAAACTGGAGATTTCCGAACTTATTTTATGAAAATTCATCTGAAGGAAACTTCCCCATGGATGAATGAAACGCAACTTGTGGGCAAATCAACTTTTCAGAGAAAATCTAAAAATACAATGAAGATAGGGTGTTCCATTTAAAAAACTCAAATAGTATCCTTCAGATCATTTGTTCCGAGCACCTTGTATTCTCTGAAAATCAATTAAGATGATATTTCAAATTCTGAAATCGGTTCAAAAATAACTGAGCTAGAGGCAGGGGGACATTTATGGTGAATCACCTTGTACTTGTGCAAATGGGTGCACATTATTCACGTGCACTAAAAAGTCCTATAGGAGAGATACACCCTGTACATTTAAATACTCCGTTGAACTCACGTGGCATGTGGTAGGCCACGCAGCCGCACCTCGCCAGCGTGAAGTTGGTCAGGCACTCCACCTGGCAGTTCTGCTGCGTGTAGCTCTGGTAGTACGCCAGGTACCGCTCGGAGGGAAAGAAGCACTGTCTGCGGTGCGGGTCGTAGTTCCGCAGGCCGGGCGCTGTCGTCATCATGTCCGGTTTGACAGAGACCACCACTTCCTGGTTCAGGGGTGCGCGGAAGTATTGGGTGCCCACTCTGGGTACCTCTGCTGGGTGGTGGAGGAGTATCTGAAATTGGAGATCACCCTCTATACAGTGTGCAAAAGAAAATGAGGGCCAGTATATAGGTATCTCGGAAACTACGAGCGATACAGAGTTCAAATTGACTCGGTCGTTATATAGGGTGATTCACATAAGAACCGCAGGGGCATGTAGGGGGTCCCAAAATATTGCAATTTAACGCAACTTTCCTCTATACCAAGTTGCTTCCCTAAGGAGTTATAGGCTTTGAAAGTGAGGTTATAAATTTTGAAAAAAATCAATATCTCTCTTATTCTTGAACTTGAAGCAACCAAAGTTGGTTAACTTCGTGGATGTAATCAAAGCGTTACTTGACAGTAACTAGAGCTTAATTCAAATTTGTAAAGGGGGTATACCGGGTGGCGCACCATTCATATTCAACAGAATTTTGTTAACCCTCGATGGATTTCGAAAATATGTGCTCTGTTGTGTGGGCAATTCAATTCTGAAACTTTTCTCAGTCCAGTAATTCTTCAAAAAACCTCATCATTTTCATCAAGAACTCGAATAACTGAAATCGAGCGCTCAAGGTGTGTTATTTGAAATCATCGAAAATTCAAAAGTTGACTATGAAAATAAACGTACCACAAGAAAGTGGGTCATTTATTGTGATCAATATAAATTGGCTGGCAAATTATTATTTAGATACGTAACAAAATACGTGAAGTAAGGACAGATACTAAAATGTGAAAAACTGGGATAAACAACTAACCAAAATAAACACAAAAAACTTAAACAACAACCAGAACAAACAATTGTTTATCGATAAAGTACTTATTTGAACAACTTACTTGCTTCATTGTCAAGTTTGACGTTTATTTTCATAGTCAACTTTTGAATTTTCGATGATTTCAAATAACACACCTAGAGCAAGCGTTTTCAGTTATTCGAGTTTTTGATGAAAATGATGAGGTTTGTCGAGAAATTAATGGACTAAGAAAAGTTTTTGAATTGATTTTTCCACAAAACAAAGCGAGGATTCTTCAAATCCATCAAGGGTTAACAAAATTATGTTGAATATTAATGGTGCGCCACCCGGTATACCCCCTTTCCAAATTTCAATTGAACTCTAGTAACTGTCAAGTAACGCCCTAAACACATCCACAAAGTGTATCAAATTTGGTTGCTTTAAGTTCAAGAATAACGGAGATATTGATTTTTTTCAAAATTCATAACTTCACTTCCAAAGCCTATAACTGCTTAGGGAAGCAACTTGGTATAGAGGTAAGTTGCATTGAATTGCCATATTTTGGGACCCCCTACATGCCCCTGCTCTATGTCGGTTCCACAGAACTCGAAGACCTAGAAGGCTAATGCAAGTCTGAGAAATCGCTGAAATCTGATACAACCAGTGTGCTTACGGCAGTGGTGATCATGCGCACATTGTTGGCAACATTGTCAGTTATTTATTTTTATACGCAAATCTCATATTTATGCATCAGAATGTTGTTTATATTTCCTACGAACATTCTTGTAACTGATTATCAACAGCATTTCAAAAATCATATTATGAAATTTTCACGACAAGATTTATAGACTCACTGATATCAATTGAATGGCTAACAAGAGATCTATGAATCATTATCAACTCCAAATTTCTCACGAGTTCATCTGGCAACTGTGTGAGGATGTGCCTCTTTTATTTCCTCTGACGTAAGGTGGATTCATGCAACATCAACTAAATTATAATGAATTTAAGATTTAAACGAATTTTAAATTAAAAAAATATGGGTGTTCATGCAATAACCTTTCATCAGCTGTTTATTCTTTTTCCAGCCCAGCTAGTTATTATTTGGCGCATGCGTTGTCGTGAATTATGGAAAAAATTAATTTCTTAGTTGAATGTTGGCCATCTTTCTTAGTTTTAATTTTAGTTTAAATTTTTTAGTTTCTTACATTACATTTCATAGTTTTATATAATTGGTTTAAGTTTAAAATTCATTTAAGTTTTAAATTCTGCTTGCATGAATCCACCTTTAGACTCGAGAAAGAGCCGGATTAGTTTCAGTTTTTCAGTGTTCTGCTTTGCGTTCAACGTCTTTCATTTTTGGATTTGAGATTATTGAAGAGTTTTGGTATTTCACTCTAGTTTGGGCAATGGGTATATTCATAGTGACAAGAACAGTACTCATTTGATTCGACATTCATCGACTGATTTGTGTACTGTCTTTCCAAAATGAATGATTTGGTGACAAGTTGAAAAAAACATTCCAGGAATGTCTTACTTCAGGTAAATTTATATCGTCAACAAAATTAGTGCTATTACTTTTTTTTCTATAGCTAAAACACACAATGACTTTTGTTTTACTTTGTTCGATGAATCAATTAGGTACTTTTTATGCTATCAATGTTATTTCCGCATCTGATATCACAATGACATTGGTTGAGTTATTATTTCACAAAATCTCATCTCCGATGGAAATGTCAAATTTCAAGCCATGACAGCTCTGTCTGATAGAAGAGCATCACTCAAGAGAAAATGCTTATTTCACACTCCTATGATTCATAGCATACGCTTGTTGTCATGATCATATCACCAAAACTAAAGACCAAGAGTTGCCACGTTGCTTGGATGATTACCTTGTTTCGAGATTCGAGATGCCACTATTGAGAAGTTGAGTCCTGTTTTCTTTCAGAACAACTGTACTATCTAATTACAACTACTAACTAATCCTGAAAGATTTCCATTGGTTTGATAGATAGTTCGGAAAAACGGAAACAACTCCTCTGTATCTCCTCCACTGAAAAATTTTGACGACGTTGCGTCAAACAACGATAAGAGTAACCACTTCATTAGTATTTTCACCATATTTTGTTTTATATCCTGAGAATTATAGCAAGAAAAACATTTTTGAATCTGACTTGACGGAGATGTATCTTACTGAAAGGGCTTTCTCAAAGAAACTATAATATTCATGACGGTTTATATTTTCAAGAATCATGGCGAATTATTGATAATTAGGCCTGAACCACCCTGTATATTAGCTCGTTCATTTCTATCCAATGAACACTCTAGTTGATGGAAAATACATAAAATAATTACTTTTGATAACATAAAGAAATTCATCATAAAAGATGCCATATAATTTTCTCACAATGTTTTGCTATTTCAAGGAAGCCACAAGAACCTGGTAATCAAATAATTCTGAATCCGCCCCTGGCATGGTCGCGTCCATGCGCATGCTCATCTTTGCCGTGCGAGTCACGTCAGGCAACACTCGAATAGAACGATATTGGCCTTCTAGGTCTCTGATTTCTGTGGTCGGTTCTTATGTGAATCACCCTGTATATAATTGATGGAAATCCATGGCAAATCTGAAAACTTCACGAACCATAAGATTATCACAAAACTCTCAAACACACGACATGTCTCGCTAACACAGTAGCTTCGTCAGGTGGTATACTGGTACGTACAATGAACTAAACTGACCCTGGCTTGCTTAAATTATATTTTCCACTTTCCCAGCCTGAAGGATTAGTTACCTGTGGACAGGTTCGATAAAGCTTCATTTTCCGTAATTAGACACAATACCTACATTTAAATATACAGTATACCGAATTAACTTGAGAAGGTTGATAGCAAATACATTTTATCACCTACTAGAAAAACAAATTCAACAGTGGTGAACTATTGAGGTCTAATTTATCGTTGAGTAAAATGTCAGGAGTTTGAGTTTGTTGATTTCTAATGATTCAAAATGATTGAGTTTCATTTCTCCATTTCCTACGTGTGGAATTTCGAAATTATCATCAAAACCATGGTCTCCTTTTAATATATGATTGGCGTAGAAGAACAAGAAGTACAAATGTCTATGAAATAACTTTCGTTTATTTCTAGATCTTCATTCATAAATTAACTTTTCCAAATTAAAACATCTTGTACAGTGTTTCGATCAGGTCAAAGCGGAGTTCATAGACTCTAGTTCCGGTAAAATTTGCATGAAACCGCTTAGCTTGCGATGCGGGCCAAGCTATACGCCCGGCATCGAGCATTGCCATTGCGGAAAATTGCAATGTTAGCATCGATTCCAAATATAAATAGATTCCGAATCGATAAGCATTTCATTACTATTCATTACTGATTACTGATTTTTGATTATTATTGATCACCCATTTCTGATTACTGAATTCATTACGATCATGCATTTCGATAACACTTTACTTTATTCCGTAATTGAGTTACTTATTCACGAGTTACTGCCAAAATGTGTACCGTCTTCCCGACTTTGATCCTGCTGGTCAACCCCATGTTAGATGTCATAATGTAAGTACTGTTTTCCATGTTCTATCTGATTTGTTCTTTCTGTATTGTGTTCCGTTTGGTAAATTTACTATTGTTTGTCTCTGCTACTTTGCCATGTGGCAAGCATTTACGATTTTCCCAGTAAATCAATAAATGTTAATTTTATACGAAAACTATCTTGACTCCATTTGGGGATGAATATGGTTGGGTGGTAAAATGATCGAAATCCTCTCATCAAGCCAAGCGAGTAGCCTTAGTTGCGATCCATAGGAGGGCAACATCTGAGTTGCGACATGTGGTGGACACGCCGTTTGCCAAATAATCTACCAAAACCATCTGAGTTGCGACACGTGGTGGAGGCGCCTTGCTCCTTCCTACAGATTAACTCTTCATAGTCAACCTATTCAGTTCCTCTTTTTTTTTTCTTCTCATTAATTTTGTCACGTTTTATAAAACAATTTCACCCATCCAACCACCATTCATTTCAAAATATGAAGTTTTCGTAAATTAAATGATCTATTTCAATAATTACTTTTTCAATACTTGCTTTCAATTTACTTTCAACTCAACTTTTTTCCTATCATCAGACCATAGATTCTCTTGAATTTTCTGAATAACTAATTTTCTTTTTTTATCCATTGATGCGTAACTTGAAAGGCAAAATAATAATGATATCATTCATACAACCATATGCACCATTGTTTTAAAAATTCTGGGATATTTTGCTATTATGGTATAATAAGTG